TAGCAGAAGAGTAAGAATGAAATGGATGAGACAGGGAAGATGAGAAGAGATGAAAAGAAGTGAAAGGAAAAGTCACTGCAACAGCAAAAAAAGAAATCCCAATCACAGGAAAATGAAAAGTACAAAACAACAATTTGAGGAAAGGTAAAGGAGCAAAGAGAGAGAGAAAAAAGTTCAACATTTCCATGAAGCTGAACAAGAACAAATCAGAGTATCACATTTCAAATGTTAAGACTCCATGAAATCCAATAATCGCCAATATTCGTCATTAATTAATCACATGGTAAATTCATAAACATTTTTCTTGTTCATGAAAATTGGTATTCTTAGTTGCCCTTTTTAAATACAAAAGGTAACTTCAGATCGATAATGGAAACTGTTCAAACAATCTTAAGATATTCTGGTAATGTGTAAAAGAAAAGGATTAGACTGTTCTGAGGTTTCATATTCTGGAAATATCAGTGATCGATAACAAAATGTAAAGTTATATTTACTTGGTAAAACTGAGAAAATTTCATGATATTGGGTTTTGATGAATATTTATTCAACTTTTGAAAGCGTTTCAATTTGCTTGGAAACTGAAATTAGAAGTACATGAATAGAAAATTGTGTCTTGAGCTTCGAAGCCAATTTACATGAGTTCGATTGATTGAGGACAAACTTGTTCCCAGATTTCAGGTTATTTGACGTTTACATGTCTTCACCTTGAGTCTGATTGTCAGCTTCAAATCAAAGTTGACTTAAGGATAAATTACTTTGCTCAATTATTTAATCGAAGTATCTTTTTGATTACATGATTTGCTTATATTCATCATTAACAATGTGTTTGGCAATGATGACCTCAGCTTACATGATCGGAGATTAAATGGATTCAAGTTTTAATCTGGGTTGGTGAATATGGACTAGACACGGAAATAACAACTAGAAAAATCATCAATAATATTAACGATCGTCAGTAACTTTTTGTATGCGAGTAAGCTTTTGATAGTTACATTGGAAGACTTGAAAATCGATAAAATTGATTTCGGATGAATTTTCTAAAAGACGAACATTTTAAACTTGGAACTTTCATAGAAATCTTCGAAATTGAAAAGTCTTTATGAATTATTTTCATAGTCCATTGATAGGATTATTTTATATCTTTGTGTTGAGATTATTGCCTGAAAATGGTCAAGTTTGCTAGGAATCAACAGATTTGTAGCAACATCATGAACTAAATAATTTATCAACCAGGAAATTGAGTGAAAATTTGGTTCCAATAAAAATAAAAGGGTTCAACTATAAATATGAATCAAGACTAGGAAATTGAGTTTTTTTCCTCTAATAGATAAATGTCGATTTGATATATGAAAAGACAACAAGTCAATCCATCGCACATTTTGTGAAAATTTTTCCAACAATTTTCACATTTTTTGGTGCATTTTTTGAGCTTGAATGATTAAATAAATTGAATAAATGATTAATTTAAACAAGTATGGCTTGAGCAATTTCAAATGTAACTGGAAAATGGAGAAAGGAAGATGAATCGAAAAGAAGATCAACATCACAATTATTATTAGAAACTGTGATTTCAAGAAACATCGTCTTTGCAAGAAGCTCGCAAAAAAAGACGTGGAAAGAGATGCTGAAATTAACATGTTAAAATAAGCTAACAACATTAATTTGCAATCTTTTTTTACCAAAACTAAGCTGAGGTCACAATGGGATAACACTTGAATAGTTGATGGTGAGGATGTTAACAATGATTATTTTATCCACATGATGAAATTTGGGTGAAATAAGAAACATTGAGTAGAAGGTCAGATAGTTGGATGAGAAGTGATGACGAAGATGATGATAGCGAACGAAATAGGTAAAGAAAAAGATACAATTAGTTAATTCGCTTAGAGAGCATAAAATCTTTAATAATTTATTCAGGAAACTGTATAAACACTAAACCATTGAATATGTGAAGAGCTAAAAGTAAGATATGATTTAAATTGTGGTGAGGACTTTTAACCCGACAAGAAAATTCATCAATTGATTTTTCACCCAAATAATCTTTTCTTATAATAAATTTCCAATCAGTTCGAGAAAATGACAAACCGATTGAAAACATCGACATTCAGAGGTTGGAATTGTATTCAGAAGTTTAACTGACAGCATTTAGGTAAATATTAATACATTGGGGAATTTTTTGCTGAAAAACTGAAACATTTGGGAAGAAAGTGTTTACTGCAATTGAAAACCTTTGATTGTTTAAATGCTATTCAACTGAATCAAATGAGTAACGAAAAAGTATCTTGAAGTAGAAGTACGAGATACATCAATAAACCATGATTTTCTGATTTTAAGCAAATTTCCAGAAAATATTTTTTTATCTTGTTGGTTCAATGAGTTAAACTAAATTTTCATTCAGTTGAATGATGAAAAGGCAATCCTTGACCATTTGATGACAAATGGTTCAAGTTTTACTTCATACAGATTCGTTCTGCTAACATGGCTTGTAATTTAGCTTTCATTTTTAAGTGCTGAGCCTTTAAAGCGAATGTTAAATTGCGTCGATTTCATTACATTTAGCATTTGTGCTTTGAGTTTCAAACTATCTTCAAATATATCTAGAAAGTATAACAAGATTGAGATAATAACATGATCATTTGATAGAAAACCGTTGTTTCTTATCCAATCATCCCACCTATTGCTAAGATTTATGTAAAGGATTCTGAATCATCTTTATCCTTATCAATTTGAATAGTTTTATTGATAACCATTTGGTTGTATCTGTACAGCAAACCAGCTTTGTTGGTCCCAAATGTTGAGATTCATTTGATTAGTTTAGTTTGGTCCAATGGTGATTTAATTATGGGACTAACGATGAGCTCCTTGGCTCATCATCTTATATCTCATTTCAAGTCAAAAGGGTCCTCTCAATTCAATCATCCTTTACTTTCCTCAATTTACAATCTCAATTCCCATTACTTTTAGCTTTCTTTCCCTTCTCATCATGAGAATCTCATCATAATTTTCATTTTTTTGTTTTTGCTCGCTTGCTCCATCTCTTATAAGTAAAATGAAACAAAAATAAAACTTAATGCTCAGTAATTTGAGCAATTCAATTACAAATTCAGTATTAAATAACACTGATTAAGACTAAACGAAGAAAAATATTTCACAATCAATTCAAATTCCATAATGATATTTAATTTTGAAATAGTGTAAGAATATCTTGCAACTGATGTAATTTAATTTGCGCATAATTCAGGAAATCAATGTTAGACCTTTGGATTTTACCCTAGGACAAGACAATAACCATTGTGGGCTTGTATTGTAATCGACTGTTATACTAAAGCCTTAGATTGTAAAATTGATGACAGTGAATTCAATTCAATTCTGTGCAATAATAGAGCTTCTGCCCATTATCATCTTGGAAATTTTAGATCTTCCATGCAAGATGCACTTCAAGCAGTTAAGTATAAGGCGGATAACAAGAAAGCAGTCCTAAGAGCTGTCGAATGCATGATGAAACTTGAAAAATATCAACAATGTATTGACTTTTGTCAAAATTCAAATTTTAAAAGTGAACTAAATTCATTCATAACCAAAGATGAAGAACGTTGAAGGAAACAACAAGCTGAAGAACGAATCAGATTCAAAGTTTGTTGTTGTATCTTCCGTACCTACATTTGTGATTGTACCTAAAGACAGATCCTTTCATGAAATTGTCCTGGGCAATAAGAATAAATTTTCAATAATGTAAAATTTTTACATTTAATCTTATTATATTTTCAATGGTTTATTTAATTTCTTACTTGGTCAATGATTATTGTAAATTGTATCACTAATGGACTGTGAACTTATCATTGTTTTGTTTGGCTGATCTAATGATTTGATGAGTATCAGGCAATTGTCAGAATGATGAACAACATTTGAACAGAAAAAGGTTATAATGATAATGATAATGATGATGTGATCAATGGACAAAATGGTAAAAGTATTGTAACTACAATTGTAATTGCTATGACATTGGTTGGTGACTGTTGAAATGATTTTGAAAAAACAATCATCAAAATCGATACATCATAGTTTTTTTAATTTCATTCCTCTAATTTCTGTAAAATGAAAATGTTCAATATAGCAGTTGAAATGAGCATGAAAATATTGATTGAAGCTCTGAACCAAGCATGAATCGAAGAACGGACATAAAAAAACGAGTGGGCCACTAATTAAAGAGTGGGCCAGTAATCAATGATAGCTCAAGAGGATAATGTTGAAATCCCTATTGTTGATATGTTGACGCTTTAGGTTACAATTCAATATTGTTACATTTCATCAAATTGCAAGTAACATTCACCTGAATTAATTGGTTTCATCAACTCTAATTCAATTGGATCAAGAGAATCATAATTGTCACGGAAGATTGCGAGTTTAACAAAACAGAAAAAACGAGAAATTGTTCACTTTGCTATTGGCCACAAGGAACCAGGATAGAGAGTAGAGTTAAAACGATGAAAAGATGATGAGAAAACAATGGTAAAATGCTGATGAGACCAGAATGTTTACCTGAATTTAATCTAATAATTTCAAGGTTAAGATAGTAGTCAACAAATTGGCTTCAACAGCAAAAAATAAAGGTAACATAATTTAATGTATTAAGAAGCTAAAAACACTAGCTTTCAGAGCAAAGAAAACCAGAAGAAAGAGAAAGAGAGGGAAAATTAGAGAGAAGATAGACAGAGATGAGGCGAAAGAGAAGAAAAGAGAATATTTTAGTGCAAATTTACCTTTTAAAAAAAGAGGAAACTAACATTAATAGGAAAGTGAAGACAGAGAAAAGTAGAGAGAGAAAGAGAAAACAGGAAAAGGAAACGATCACTAATTGAGAGGGTTTAGAAACACACATGAATGATGAAATAAGAAGGCATGAAAAGACCAGAATGTGAAGTTAGCAAAAAAATGGGTTTTGGGTTAAGTTTGTGATTCTTTGGGTAAAACAGTTAAAAAAAGTAAACATAAGGTCTAACCTGGTTTTGGTGATAGACGCTGGTTTAGCGAAAACCGGTAAAAGACGTTCATTTTCCATTGGATAAACTCACTTTATATTCCCTCTTTTGCTGGTTACAACGGACACTTTTGGCTATACCGGTGAACAATTAATAATCAATTAACACTTAAACTTGCTTACTCAGTAGTCAAAGGCAAACAGAACAAAGTGAAAAAGATAAAGTAGAACAAAATATTTAAAGAAATGAGATAAAACATGCAAAGATGGCCGATGAACCAGAAGAGAATCACAAGAGAAAAAAAAGAAAGCACAAAGGTTTGTTACCAGAAAACCTACAAGACATGAATTTATAAGTTGATAACAATTAAATTAAAATGTAGATATGATGAGTTTATCCGTTGGAGAAGTAATCTTATTGTAGCAACAAAAACAGATGACCGGCTAAATAAACGGTTAGGTTGATAAATAAGGAGACATGGGAAAGCAAGTGAAAAGGTAAAAAAACCAAAGGTCGAGTTTAACTGTTAAGACTATTGAATGTGTTGAATGTTGGCGTAAAGAGAGGATTTGTCATGACATTAGAATGATAAACCAGAAAAAGAATGATTCCAATGGTGTTTCAATGATGGTCATAGATTATGGTGAAAATGTGGTAAAATGGAAGCGGTTAAAGATGAACAAATAGACTCTAAAGAGAGTGCATGATACACCGGGTGTTTGTTTCAACATGATTACAAGCTTTAAATGTTATCGGTAAGGCGTGCTTGATGGGGATGACGATGATGATGAAAGAAAGTAATGAAGACGATGGGAGAGTAAGGGAAAGGTAGAAAGAGAGAGTGAAAGAGAAATGGAAAAGGATGGAATGAGAAAAGTTGATACTGACCGTAAAGAGTTGAGAGATGAACAAAAAGTAAAGAATGGAACTGTTAAAAGCCTGCGGTCAAATACACAATAACAAGTTTAACCAGATTAAATGAGTTGCTATTGACCATCAACAAATTCATCATAATCATAATAATCATCATCTACCGCCAACAAGATTTCAAACTGAATGGGTAAAGATCATTTCTCTTTCCCTTTTCTCTCTTGTCCATTCCACTCTCATCTTTCAATCTTTTTTTTCACTGGTTATTGAAACCAGAGATTTTTGTTGAAACAGCAAACAGGGAAGTTAAAAGCTTAAGTTATTTCTCATTATGATGATGTTAATGATGATCATGTTGATACTATAATGATCATGTTGGATGGTTAAACATTGTTAAATTCACGGGATAATTAGTTGTTGATAAAACTGGTGATGACGATGATTATAAACCCAATGTTCACATATGTTTGAAGAAGCCAATTTTTATTTCGTGTTCAATGATCAAAATTGGGTTTATACTTCAAACACTAATTCAAATCCTAATTAACCTGTGTTGTGATTAAAATTGATAGCAAAGTGAAACATTTAGAGTGTTGAATCATAAATGTAAAGTGAAATGGAAAGTCGTTTTTTTGCAGAAAAGGAAAGGATTGGAATAGAATCAAACTGTAATCACGTTAATTGGTGATAAATGGTTAACCCTACAGGCACAAATGAGTAGAGGAAGGTGTAGACTGAAAATGCTGTGATATTATCGTTTTAAGTTGAATTGTAACAAAGTATTTATCATTGTTGGATTGGGTAAAAGTTTAGAATAAAAAAAATGGTTCCTTCAATGGTTCATGGTCATGTTAACAACGATTAGTAATTGTGAGTATGAGACTCATGCTTAGACATGGTTAGATTTAACGATAATGTTCAATGTTTAACATTCAATAATTGTATGGTATTTATGTTGCTCAGTTGAAATGATTACCAATCAATTGATAGGTTGATGGAACATTTTTTCATCACATTAATTTTATTTGACTGGGTTTGGCTTGCTTTTGGCCATTTTTCGTGAAATGAACATTAAGATTTTTGTTTCATTTCCCTGGTTCAGAATAAAAATATTACAATCAAGGTGAAAGTGAGATTCGAATGTATGGAGGAAACTGAATGATGAATTGTTCAAACTCACATTGGCTAATTATTTAATGAAATTGGGAAACAAAAGGTACACCCAATGAAGATTCAAGTAGAGATACTTATTACATGATAAATGGTAATAATTGTAGGTCATTTTCCTATGATTTGCCAAGCTTTCTCATCAAAAAACCTTTCATTTAAAAGAATCAATTGGTCACACTGAACATCTTGGCTTTTCATTGTAAACCAGACTTAATAAAACATTAAATATTATAAAAAGAATCCTAGGAATACTGGTTTCATTTATTCAATGAACCAGAGATAATGAAGAAATGCATTTCAAATTTGTTGAGATGGAGAAAAACAAGATTTGGAAAATGATTCTTGAAAGTGATTTTCTTTCAATGACTCCATGAGTTGCTTGGTGAGAAGCGCGCAAATGGTTATACATTTGTAGTTGATTCTCATGTAAATGCCGATTTAATATGGCTAAGAATTGATTTCTTTGGTGGAATAAATTGCAAGCTTAAAAGTGAACCAAGGGATTCAATGGTAAAGATTAACTGATGTAAAGACAAATTAGACTTACCGTTAATATACAAGGAATAGGTGAGTTATTCCTGATGGTTAATAGATGACTATTAACGGATTGATGGCGGTGTTGATGTACAGCCAATTGTTGGTTAACTACAAATAAGTATCAAAACTATGATGTTGGCACAGTCCTTTTGGTTAATGTTTAAAATAACTGGTGAAGCGACCTTTTGAAAGAGCAAAGGACAAGGTTGTAAAACAAAACATGATTAAAATGAAATTAAATGATGACTCTCTGGTAAGGATTGAATGTAGGTTATGGTAATGATGATTTTGATGGTCTGTCCACATAATTTGATTACAATTGACACTGAGTTAGAGAGGAAAATAAGTGTCAAAGGGTGGGGTGGAAATAAAATGTGGTGCAAAAGATGAAATGGGAAAACAACCAAATAAACGGTGGCAAATCAAGAGATACAGGAAAACAGGGAAAACAACCAAATATAAAGAGACGGTGAATGGAATGGATTTTAAGGATTGGCAACCAAAAAATTATGACAATATATTTTACGATTGAACAAAAAAGTGAATGTTTTGGGTAAAGGTGATGATTGTTTGTTGATTTGTTATACTAACGGTTTGATAGTGTTTCAAATTAATATCATCTGATGTCCTTTTAGTTTGTCTAATTTGACTTGTCACTTGTTTAGATGTTGTACTTTATATATTTATTAGCAGATGAAAAGAAAAAAATTAACTGAAGAAAACAATTGAAAGAAAATAAAAACAGAAAAAGAAAAATTGAAATTGTTTGGGTTTTAGGAGAAAGAATAGAGAGAAAGAAAGAGAAAAAAGTGGATCCAAATACAGTTGAAACCCACAGTTTTCTTATGCTACTTTCTTCCTAACTATAATATTATATCGATTTTCTTCCTTCCCAATCTGCCTTCATTTTCATCTTCATCTTCTTCTTCCCTTTTTCCCGTCTTTACAGTCTTTCCATTTCTGTGTCTCTATTTTTACATCATCTCTTTCTCTGTCTCTATTGACAGTTATGTCTAGCTTTACTGTCTATTTGTATTCTCTGTCTCTCTGTCTTCAAAATTGTTCCTCTTCGTATTTTTGGGTTTCATAGCAATTCTTTTGCTTTCCTCTTTTCCTCTTTCGATTAGTGTTTCGCTTTCTGCTATTATTATCATCAGATACTTTCTTTGGCCCAGACTCAATAGATGATTTAACATTGATTCTTGCCTTTTATCCAGCCAAATACTGAATATCTGGTAACTTGAAAAATCTGAGAAAAATCTCAACCCTGGTGATGCCATCTACAGCAATCATTTATATTTCCTCTATTCCTTGACATTGTGTATTGATTACTTGGATTTATCATTCTTGATTTGCTCCGTTTCATCTCAAAATGGTAACCTTTAACATTAATGTTGAATCGATCCATTCATTTTTACCACACATTTTCATTTCTCTTGAAAATGATACAATTGTTGTAATAACAATTCCAACACATATTTATATATTATTATAAACATAAATGCACCGTTGATCAAACAAATTGTATGGAAAAATTTATCAAAAAGGATATCGTTTCCAAATTATGTAGGCGCAGGTTGCATAGAAAAATACAAATGAAAGTATTATTAAAATGTTATCAGTTATTTCTCGTCGACCATATTTGTTCAATAAACTCTTTGAATGAGAGATAACTCCTCTCATTGAATGGAACTCTTCTCGAATTTGGTTTACATTGTCAGATGAGCGTAACAATGCTTCATATGATAATCGACTTCGTTCCACTTGATCCGCTAAAAGGCTTCTTATCCTATGCAAATCGGAGGTGACGTTAGCTGCTCTCTGACCTGCTGTCTTGGATACAACTGGTCGTCTTCTTAGTTCCGTTTCATCACTCGAATGACTGAATAATCGTTTTCTTTCTTCCTCCCTGATCATTTCTCTAACTTCACACGTTGCCTTCCTATGGTTTTTGTAATTACTTTCTAATTGATATCTTAAGGCTTCCAATTCAGAAGTCATGGCTTCCCTTTCTGATGGCTTGATGAATAAGTTTACTTTTCTCTCCAAGTCCTGAAAAATAAAAATTGAAAAATTACTCAAACTCAACCTCACTAAATTAATAAACAAAAAGATTTCATAAAAGGTTTAAATTGCCGAGACATTGGACATTCTCTGTTGGCATTTTGTTGGAGTTGACATCAGCAAAACACAGTATCAATAACACTGACAGTTCACTTGTAAGTCTATCAATGTACAGATAGATCTACAACTGATTAAATCTGATTACTTGAATTATGTGTTGGAATCGCCAAGAGGTGTCAACAATATCAAAAATGTTCTCAGACTTACATCTATTAAAAATTTATGATTATTGATTGCATCTATGTAATCAGAATTGATTGAGTTAAAATTTTCTTGGTCTTTTGCCTCCCATAATTGCTATAAGATGAGATAAAGATAAAAAATAATTTAGCAAAATGAATGACGTTACGTTTGAATGAAAGAGACAAAAATACATAAACAAAATGAAACTTACTTTGAGTAAAGTCTTAACAAAAATATCTTGCTTATAAATCTCCCTTTGAATACCTTTAATTTTCTCCATACTAAATGCCTGGAATAATTTTAATCATATAAAAAAATGACTAGCAATAAAAATAAAAAGTATTACAATCAGATGAACATTTGGAAAAATTGGTAAACATAAGAGTTAAACTCACAGAAATTTTAGTTAAATTAGACAAAAAAACCTATTTCTACAGAATAAGCTCGACAAATAAGAGTCTGTGTTTGATTGTCATAGGCAACTGAAACCATGTTTACTGTACAAGTTTTGTTATGCAAGAAACTTGTTTTTGTTTACACATGATTTTATTTCACGTTGACTGTCGTATTAATTCACATTCTCAACAATTCAATGGTACACATGGTACACGTGCTTTCTTAATTAACAGAGATTTAAACTTGGATTTGACTTTGCGCTTCAGGTAAACACATGTTTCGAAATGTTGCTCTATTTATTTCTCAATCTCTTTTTAACTAGTCTTTTCAATCAATTTTTCATTCAAGTTTCTTTTTATAGACCATGGATAGCAAGGAAGGTGATGTGGGGGAAGAGCAAGATTTATTTGACGTGATTGCTCACCATGTAACGTCTGGACAATACAAGGATGGTTGGGATGAAGATAAATGGGAACAGCAAATGGAAGAACATCCTTTGTTTATGACAAAATCTCCAGAAGGTGAATTACCTCCTTTGGTCGAAGCAATCGCTCAAGTTAAATATGATGAAGAGATGGATAATAAAAGAGAGCTTGCCCAAAATTATAAGGATGATGGCAATGAAAATTTTCGTTTTAAAAAATATCGATGGGCAATCGACTGTTATACTAAAGCCTTAGATTGTAAAATTGATGACAGTGAATTCAATTCAGTTCTGTGCAATAATAGAGCTTCTGCCCATTATCATCTTGGAAATTTTAGATCTTCCATGCAAGATGCACTTCAAGCAGTTAAGTATAAGGCGGATAACAAGAAAGCAGTCCTAAGAGCTGTCGAATGCATGATGAAACTGGAAAAATATCAACAATGTATTGACTTTTGTCAAAATTCAAATTTTAAAAGTGAACTAAATTCATTCATAACCAAAGCTCAAGACGAATTGAAACGCATTGAGCGAGATTTAAGGAAACAACAAGCTGAAGAACGAAGGATTAAAGCCAAACAAGAAGAGATATTGAAAGCAGTAGCTGAACGTAAAATAAACTATCAAGGATCACTTTTCACTGCTTCACATCCAGCCGCTGAAGGACATCAAGTTTATCTTAACAATTTAGGACAGTTGGTTTGGCCAGTGCTATTTGTTTACCCTGAATATGGCCAAACAGATTTCATTGAAAGTTTCAATGAAAACGATTCTTTCACCGATCATCTCAAGTTAATGTTTCCTTTGGATGAAAATCATCCAAACTGGGATATCGAGAGAAAATATAAAACCGATGACCTGAAAATTGCCTTCCAAGATCCTAGGACAAGTCAATTCCATCCTTTCAAGTTGACTAAGAGACTGAAAGATGTTTTATCAGATTCAAAGTTTGTTGTTGTATCTTCTGTACCTACATTCGTGATTGTACCTAAAGATAAATCCTTTACATGATATTGACCTGAGCAATAAAAGTAAATTATCAATAATGTAAAATTTTTGATGTAACTTTTGATCAACCAGATTATTATTTTGAGAAATAAATTTTCTCTTTCTGTACAATAAGTCAGTTCGATTTTCCGCTGAACAATCCGCTTTCTGTGATCTTAAGAGTTAGAGAGCTGGAACTTACAATTCGTCGATAAGCCATGTTTGTACACATAAACAATCGAACACTTTTTTCAATTCATGGAAAGTTCTCTTGGTTCTGGCCATCGGCCTAAAAACTTGAATGTAGAATCTAATGTTTGATGGTTGTTGGCACTCGAAATATTTGGGCTCAAAGTTTTTAGGCCAATGGCTAAAATCAAGAGAATGTCGATAAATTGGAAAAAATGTCATTTAATCAAATGAGGATAACGTTGACCTACGGTTTTCAACTATCAGATAAACTTGAGGGTTAAAGTAGTTAGATTAGCTATGATTATTCGTAAAAGTTCAATAATTTAAAGTAATTTCATTCCATAAAAAAATGCAATATAATTCAATCCGTTTTTAATCATCAAATTAATGTAGTCTTTCATCATTCATTGATCATTTGAACATACCATACTAATCAAGATTTCATCAGACAAAATACTTTAAAATAAATTGACTTAACAATTATTATTACCAACTAAAAATTATAAAAAACCCAAAGCGAGAAACCAGTAAATAACTAAAACTCTTAAAAACAGGCATAACCCAAATTTTTCAAAACACAACCAATAGATGGCGTTATCACCACCATAAAAACTTTCAAACAAATTCATATAAATTAACATGAAAACCTATAAAACTGCTAAATTAATTCATGCTAATGAATCATTTAATCATAGGTAAAGTTATCCATCGCCTAGAAGCCAGTGAGCAAAAAAAAGATACCAGACAAATTGAAATAACTTGACAATAACATTGATCAACTGTTAAAAGCAAAAGCGATCAAATCTAAAAGCTCATAAAATCAAATTACAATCATACTTAATCACTATCAAGTGGCATAAAAACAGTAAAATGATTTAATTTTCCTAATGTGCAATTTAAAACCACTCATCGTCTAATTGTCGCATATATCAACACCAACCATCCAAGTAAATCAAAACTAACAAAAATACTCATCAAAATGAGATGAAAATTGAATTGTTATTTTAAATTTTCCAATTTAATTTCAATGAAACAAAAACAACTTTAAATTTCCATCGATCAACCCAAAGATTCAATGTAAAATGTAACAAAAAAGTGAATATAATAAAGGTAATGGAAGCAAAAGTCCTGCAGAAAAGAGTTGAAAGTAAATTAAAAGGTAGCTGATGATCAATAAATGAATCGTTAATTGAGTTGAAATGGTTATAAATAAATGTTTGATTGACCGCAAAGTTGAATAGATAATGTAAATTTTGATTATTTACAATATAACAACAAGATCAACAACAACAACAGCAGCAGCAGTAAAAAAAGAGTCACATATTGACCCTCCCAAGCCAGTATCATAATTAATAACAATACAATATAAGAAATTGAATTCTCATTTTCAGTCTCATTCTCATCTTCATTTCTTCCCTATTGCCTATCCTACTTCTCATCTAGCATCTCATTCCACCTCATCATCATTATCATCATCATCATCCCTTCTCATCCAGTCTACAGTGAACACGCCTTATACCATATTATCATCTGATATCCAAGGCAAGATGATACACGGCTTGGTTACAGCCTACCTCAAGTCATTATACTGTTACTCTGATACCCTGATACCAATAGCAACACTTGAATTCATCTTTTAACTCCCACAGACTCCACCTTTACCAAGAGAAAAGGTTCATCTTCATCTTTCTCTTTCTTTCATCTTCTTTCTTTCCTCTCTCTCTCTCTCTCTTTCCTTTCTTGTTTACTTTTCTCAATGACGATAATAATACGCTTTAAGGCGGTCTCAAAGTTCAGGAGATTGTACAGAGAAAGAGAGAGAGAGACAGGAAAAAGGATAGGTTTTCGAGTAGAGAAATGAAGATGAGAATGAGAATGATGATTAAAATAATAATAATGATGATGATGAGAGATGAGAAGGAAGATGGAAACATATCTGTTTTGTGAGTCCTCATCTCAGTTTCGCGTCTCTTTGCCTTTTTTTCAGTTATCCAGAGTATTAAGTATATTATTGTATTAATAGCAACTCTTTCTTTTCTTTCGTTTAGTTTTGTTGTCTTTTTCGTCTTTCTCTGTGTGTCCAGAAACTGTCTTGTGTTGCTGTGTTTAGTGTTGCCCGTGGTCTCACTGGACTCATCACACTCTTACCTCTCTGCCATCACCATTGACACCATCATGTTTTCATTGTTACCAACTTTAAACTTTACTGTTAGCCAAGTGGCCACTGTTTGTGAAACATTGGAAGAGTCGGCGGACATTGAAAGGTTAAGTCGCTTCCTCTGGTCTCTTCCCGTGGCTCATCCAAACTGTGCTGAACTCTCCAAAAATGAATCAGTGTTGCGAGCTCGTGCATTAGTTGCCTTTAGTACAGGCAATTATCGTGAATTGTACAATATATTGGAACATAATCGGTTCAGCCGTGTTTCCCATCAAAAGTTGCAACAAATGTGGCTTGAAGCTCATTATGCAGAGGCTGAAAAGCTGAGAGGACGTCCATTGGGTCCAGTGGACAAGTATCGAGTAAGAAAAAAGTATCCACTTCCAAGAACCATTTGGGACGGTGAACAGAAGACTCATTGTTTCAAGGAAAGAACTCGAACACTGTTACGTGAATGGTACCTTCAAGATCAATATCCAAATCCAACAAAGAAAAAGGAACTTGCCCAGCAAACTGGACTAACGCCAACTCAGGTCGGAAATTGGTTTAAGAATCGTAGGCAGCGTGATAGGGCTGCGCAAAATAAAAATGAGTAAGTTTCCTTTTCGATCAACTTTCAAGTTAAGTGTTCATGGATAAATATTGATACTTTAGCCAATGTTTCAATAGCTTTTCATTTTGCCCGTGAGTGACTGTCCATTCAACCTCTAAAACTATCGCCTTTTCCTCATGAAAAATTTTGTCCCACTTTGAATCCAAGTTTTGGCCAATTCTTGTCCTTGGCTGAAACCAATATTCAAGTTTAAGGTCTGATCAGTATGAAACAATTTATTGAGTCCAACAGAAATAAGAAATGAAATTTTCAATGTTGTCTTTTAAGCCTGAAACTGATTCAAGTTGAAGCTTTGATTGAACGGTATAAATTAAATTCATTTTAATTTCTCAACATTTTCGAGGTTTTATACCAATTCATTTGTCGAAAGCTTGTGACAATACTTTGATTTATTTTCATTTATCAAATTTATTAATTTTCTTTGAATATTCATCTCACTTTGAGAGTTTTTCAAAGGTGCTCGAGACGATTTTCACCCAAAAAAGTTAAAGGTGAAATTAGGTGACTTATGTTATGTTGATGAGTTTATAAACCAGAGATTCTCATGAAAAGTGATCACAATAACGTTTAAATGTTTCATTCTAATGTTGGTTTAATTGTGCAATTTAACTTGTGAATTAACTTTGCGATTATGTTAATCAAAATGTTGTGCTTCTTTACAAACACACATTGTTGAAACAGTTAGATGTTATTACCTATTTTATACTCTTAAACTTAATGTTAACTTGATACGGTGCCAGGTTTTAACCCAAAACCAGGTTAAGAGTGAAACAAGAAAGAAAAGGTAAAGTCTATAAGGGATGTTCCAGAAGATGATGAAAAGGTGAAGGAAGAAAGATGAACATTTAAAGATGATAATGTTGAGAAGAAGAAAAAGAAGAAGAAGGAAGAGAAAGATAAAAATGGCGAGTATTTACCTCGTCAAGGTAAAGATGAGGTGAAGGCGATGATGATAAAGAGACTCTTCAACAACAACAAAAAAAAATGATGAGCAAAAAACAACCAAAGAGCAAATTATCGTTAGGAGAATGTTGAAGATGGACAATTGGATGAATTAACTGACCAGATTTTCTGGTAAATCACAGTAAATAGAAGTTTTCCTTTTCTCTGCTTTACCTTTCAATACCATTTGACTAGTGACTTGAAAAGGACACGAAAAATAATAACGACAATTATAATAATCGCAGCAACAATAATGATAACAAGTTGAAGGTAACATTACCTCATTTGTAGCTTATTTTGCTTCTTGTATTAGCTTTTACTTTCGGATAATTTACGGTTAAAGTCTTGAAGCAGATCAAAAGTGTACCTCAAATTGGGAGGCAACAGAAGCCATTTTAATTTCGCAGGTAACAAAACTGTATTTACCTTGCAATCAGCTTCATCTTCATCAGCTTCTTCATTTTTTTTCTGTAATTTCTTCTTCTTCTTCTCTATCAACATCTTTGGTAATATCTTCACCTTCGTGAGCAACTGGCTTACCCCCTCTGGGCCTATGAAAAGGTGAAGGATGAGAATAAAGGTGAACAGGTAAGTAAACGTAACCAAGGTTTGCCATCAATCATAATCCAGTGACAGACTTTTTCTTTAACCGCAATATATATCTTAATATTTTCTCGCCTTAAATTAAGTTAACTTCATCTTTAAACTCATCCTCATCATCATTTCATTTTTCTTTGTTATTCTTTTCCTTTCATGTTATTTCGCTCATAAATTGCTTTCCAACCTTTTCCATCAACTTTCATGAAACAACAAACATCAATTTGACTAATTAAATTGTTGCTCAAAATCAACTTGAAATCGATTCAGAGAACACTTTTTTTAAGCGAAAAAAAAATGTTTCATTTCCCAAAGTCTAACAACCTAAAGATTGTTCAATTTTCATCGACTCATCTCAGTAGCTCAACCTTTGAAATGCAAACATTTTGTTTCAACCTGTACTTTACCTGATCAGTGTGTTAATAATGTTTGACCAGAAAAAAAAGTGTTTAAAAGAGGAAATCTTTTGTTACATTGAAGAAGAAGATAAATTGAGAGGCAATTTTTTTAAATAAATAATACAAGGTAAAATCTCGTAAATCCATTTAACTATCAAATAATATTAACTATTGTTTGCTGAGAAGGTCAAGGTTCTTGTATCAATAATGTTCAAATGTCTTTTCATCATTACTGTTTACCAACATCCACAACATGATGATCACTTGGATTACCTTTTCTTTTCAATTTTATTCACAAAAGTATCACGTAACTCTTTTCTGATGGTTTCATTACTTTAACAATAATCTCAATCATCATCTCGATCATCATCTTGAACATCATCTTAACCGGCATCTTCATCACCATCTCGGGCAAACATAAAAAACCAACAAAAGAAGCAAAAAAGTTATCAATAATACTTGATGATGAAAAAGTGAATAATATTTATAATAATATTTAAGTTATCCTTAGAAATGATTGAAATGAATAAAAAAAATGTTCACAATTCGTTGGATATTATTATCGTAATGTGAAGAGGCACACAACCATTGAAGAGACACAATGAAGAAAAAAGATAAATCTTATTTCTTGTTCTTCTTTTTGCACATTTTATTCAATTTAATCAACAATTAACCTCAATGGGGAGTCAAAAGAGTGCCTTTGTTCATATCGGATATGGGCTCATCATGACACTAGTTTACATAGAGTTAGATTCGGAACACCCTGTGAGTTGAGAAAAAAGGTCGAATGTCAACCTTTCCAAATTTTGGGCAAAAATCCATTGACTGACCCAAACCCAAATCATTGAAAAATCAATTGAAACGAATCGAGAAAACATTTTCAAGTAAATAAAATTTCCAATCAAATATCATCCATTATCAATATCATCAATCAAATGAACTGGAAAACAGTGAAAAGTAAATAACCAAAAAAATGAATAGCAAATAAACTGAAACTGATCATTTAGTTTCTTACCTTTGCTTTTGTCTTTACACCAACATTTCATTTTCACAGTTAATCAAGATGAAATTAACTTGATTAAATGTAATGAAGGAAACAAATGAAAATAAATGTAAAGTCAAACATTGAAAACAATCGCAGTTTACTCAGTTGAACATCTCGTGCTAAATGTTGGCCCAATGTTGAGACTGTAATAGCAGTTATCCTTGAAGGTGGAAACAGTAAAAAATGAGATAAATCATGATATCAAGTTTTCACATTTTTCATGAGAAACGCAAGCTACTAATAATAACAAATCTTAGTGGGACAAGGATAATGATATCAATTTTGTCATGATATTTGCTTGTTGTTGCAACTCGTTTCTCATTGATTATTCAATAAAGTTCAATTGACATTTCGAGTTTTTTGTTTTCTCTCATTTTTCTCATTCTTTCCAATTCTTTTCGACATTTTCCTAGTTCAAGTCCAAAGCTCTTTGTAGGTGTTGAGTTGCCTTGAAACTGTCCACTTGAACTTGTTCATGATTCACTTTACCAACTTTGAATTTGGAAACTTTTCTCTTCTTTTTGCATTTTTTTGTTCAACATTTTGTTTCTCAAATTTTCTGTAAAATCTTGTTCCGATTATCAATTGTGATTGTTAATTGTCATTTTGTTTATCATGAAGGAAGGTTCAATTGATTGATTGAGATGATTAACTGACATTGAAAATGTCAATTTCATTGACAAATGATTCCATCAATTACACTCACACAAGTTATCATGAAACATCTTGTTCAATATGATGGAATTGGTAAAAGTTGAGAAAAGGGAAAAAACAAAGTTAAACATTTTCTCCTATTTCCTTGTATTAACATGACTATCATTCAACAATATTGCCATGAATATTGGCGATTGCATGGAAATAAATGAGAAAAGAATTGAAAAAATTATCTTTTTTGTCAACAATCAACATAATGAGATATAAACTTGATTTTCTTGCTTCTCTAATCCCAAGTTTTACCTTTCACTGTTGACCACTTTTGACCATTTTAAATGGACAAATGTTGGCCTTTCAGTTTCGTTTGTTGTTGTTGATGTAATGATGAAGATAATGACAAGATGTGATGATGAAGATGTAACAAGAAAAGTAGGCAAAATTGGACAAGAAAATAAATTGTTTGATTCCTTTAATAGATTGAAAAGTAACATTCAGTTATTTTTTACATTATTAGATTGATTGTTATTGGATAGTCATGAAAATCATAGTTCAATTTGCAGTAAAAAAAAAGGTAATCTAAAAATCTATTCATCATGCAATGACATTTTACCTGGTCAGTTGATGATGCTCATTATCATCATCATCGCCACCAATGTAATTACATGACAATAATCATCAAATCAAGACTCATCTTTCAATTTTTCTCATCTTTAACTTTCTTCCTTTATTAGTTGATATTCACTTGCAATTTAGTGACTTTTCATGCAAACAAATATCGCCATTTCATCCAATTTTGTCCTGGACAGTCAAGCACCGTTTGAATGGTGCGTGCCTCAAATGTAATTTACAATCGTTTCAATGTTTATTTTTGAGAAATCAAACTTTTTCCAAAAACTTTTTCACAACTCAAACTTTCCAAAATCAAATAATTTTTTCATAAATTTTTCATTTTCTCAGTCGATTTCATTCATTCATAACCAATGTTAACAGGTTAAGAACGGAATATGAATCTGATTCAGAAAAATTCTTAAACAAGAGTTCTTTTATCTAACATTATTAAGACAGCTTTCTGTTCATATATTCACAGATACTTTCCATGAAGTGGTATAACATTTACCTAAGATTAAATGAAGTGAAAGTTGATCAAAAGTCTGAAGTTTTGTTCCAACATCTAAAGTTCACATTGTGTTACAGTTTCAGTCTTGAGTTTAGAATGAAATTTGTTTGCCGTTTTGAGAAATTTTCAGAGTTTTCATGGAATCAAGTTGATTGGATTTTCTTCAGGATTTTCGGTAAATTTGAAAACTTTACTTTCGCTCAACTCATTTTCATAATCTTGTCAT